AGAAGGTGAAGCTTCAGTCCTTGAGAAAGCAATATGAGAATCTCAACATGAAGAATAATGAGAAAGTTTCTGAATACATCTCCAGAGTGATTCTGATCACTAATGAGATGAAGGCGTGTGGAGAAACTCTTTCTGAAGAAACAATCATGGAGAAGGTATTGAGATCCCTTACCTCTCAATTTGATTACATTGTGGTAGCAATAGAACATTCCAAAGATCTGAGTACCATGAGAATTGAAGAGCTGCAGAGCAGTTTAGAAGCGCAAGAGTTGCGTTTGACTGAAAGAACTTCTGAAAGGGAAGTAGAGCAGCAGGCTCTGAAAGCAACTTCTGATAGGAGGTATCAGAAGCAGTCAGAAGCCAGGAGAAGATCTGATGGTGGTCAGAAGTCAGAAAGCTCAACCTCTGATAGACAAAAGAATGCTCAGAAGGGAAAAGAGAAGTATGACAAGAAGAAGATCCAATGTTACTGTTGTAAGAAGTTTGGTCACTTTGCTAGAGATTGCTGGTCAAACAAGGAGAAGAAATCAGAAGAAGCAAATATAGCCAGAAGTTCTGATGACGAATCTGTGCTATTGATGGCCTCTGAATCTGATAATATGGATCTGATAGACTGGTGGTATATGGACACTGGCTGTTCAAATCATCTTACTGGAAACAAGAAATGGCTGGTTGACTTTGACTCTGAAAAGAGAACAAAGATCAGATGTGCTGATGACAAATATCTTAATGCAGAAGGTATGGGAAATGTCAGAGTGATTCTGAACAATGGGAAAACAGCATTGATTCAGAACGTGTGGTATGTACCTGGCATCAGAAGCAATCTGATGAGTGTGGGACAATTAATTGAGAAAGGTTTTTCAGTTACCATGAAGGATAATCTTCTGAAGCTGTATGACTGCAATCAGAAGTTGATTATGGAGTCAGAACAGGGAAGGAATAGAACATTCAAGGTGAATGTCAGAACTGCAGACTCAGAATGTCTTAGTGCAACATGTGCTGAGAAGGAGAGTGAGCTGTGGCACAGAAGATTTGGTCATTTGAATTTCAGAAGCCTAAAACATCTGAATTCAAAGAAGCTGGTACATGGAATTCCTGCAATTAAGAGGCCTGAGAAGTCATGCAAAGTTTGCATGGAAGGAAAACAACCACGTTTGCCATTTGCGTCAGAAGTTGCTCCAAGAGAAAAACATGCCTTGGGAGTTGTACATTCTGATGTGTGTGGTCCATTTCCAGTAGCATCAATTGGAGGGAATAAATACTTTGTGTTATTTGTTGATGAATTCACAAGAATGACATGGGTATCTCTTATTAAGTTCAAACACGAGGTGTTTGATGAATTCAAGAAATTCAGAATGAAGGCTGAGAATCAGAGTGGTCAGAAGTTGAAGATTCTTAGAACTGATGGTGGAGGTGAGTATAACTCCAAAGAGTTCCAGAAGTTCTGTGAGGAGAATGGAATTGAGCATGAGGTTACTGCTCCTTATACCCCTCAACACAATGGTCTTGCTGAAAGAAGAAACCGTACTTTGCTTGATATGGTGAGAAGCATGCTAAAGGAGAAGAAGCTTCCTCAAAAGCTCTGGGGAGAAGCTGTTGCCACTGCAACGTATGTACTCAACAGATGTCCTACGAAGAAGTTGAAGGAAATAGTTCCAATGCAGAAGTGGACTGGAGACAAGCAAAGTGTTAGTCATCTGAAGGTGTTTGGTTCTGTTTGCTATAAACATGTTCCAGAAGCCAGAAGACAGAAGCTGGATGATAGAAGCAAAGTGATGATTCTGATAGGGTACCACAGTACAGGTGCATACAAGCTCTATTGTCCAGAAACCAATAAAATTGAACTCAGCAGAGATGTGATTGTGAAGGAATCAGAAGTTTGGAATTGGGATAAGTCTCAATCTGATTCTGATGTTAGAACTTCTGAAGAAAGGTCAGAGTTAAGAACTTCTGAAGTTGAAGTAAACTCTGAAGTTGATTCTGACTTTGATAGTGATTCTGACTCTGGAGAAGACTCAGAAGATGAAGGTGACTCTGATGATCCAGACTCTGATGGTAATCCAGATTCTGGTGGAAATTCAGACTCTGAAGATGGCCAAGGCTCTGGAGGAAGTCAACCATCTGAAGCTGGAAACTCTGAAGCTCAAGACTCTGAACAAGTTCAGAGACCACAAAGAATCAGAAGCGTTCCCAGAAGATTTGCAGAATTTGACATGCTGCAAGACACTGAAGTAGACTCTGAAGGAGAAGTTATTCAGTGTGCCATGTTAGTAGACTCTGAACCTATAAGTACAGAGGAGGCTCTTAAGCAGAAGCTCTGGCTGAAGGCCATGAAAGAAGAACTTGATGCTATAGATAGAAACAAGACTTGGAAGCTGACAGAACTTCCAAAAGACAAGAAAGCCATCAGCGTCAGATGGGTTTTCAAGCAGAAGTTAAAGCCAGATGGTTCAATTGGCAAACATAAAGCAAGGTTGGTAGCCAGAGGATTCCTACAGAAACCTGGGATGGATTATTCTGAAGTGTTTGCACCTGTAGCAACACATGAAACAATCAGAATGGTGATTGCAATAGCTGCTAACAGGAATTGGCCTCTGATGCATTTAGATGTAAAATCTGCATTTCTGAACGGCCCATTAGAAGAAGAAGTTTACGTGTCACAACCTCCTGGATTTGTGAAAAAGAATCAGGAAGGGATGGTGTACAGATTATACAAAGCTCTATATGGATTGAAACAAGCGCCCAGAGCTTGGAATCAGAAGATTGATTCATTTTTCAAGAAGCAAGGCTTTCAGAAATGTGAGATGGAGTACGGTGTCTATGTTCAACATACTTCTGAAGGCAATATGACTCTGGTATGTTTATATGTTGATGATATACTATTGACTGGAAGTTCTGAACAGGAGATAGCCAAGTTCAAGAAGGTTCTAATGAATGAATTTGAAATGACTGATCTAGGCAAAATGACATACTTTCTAGGGATGGAGTTCAGATATTCTGAGAAAGGTACCATTTTGCATCAACTCAAGTATGAATTAGAACTTCTGAAGAGATTTGATCTGAAGAATTGTAAGATGGCTGTCACACCTTTTGATACAAATCAGAAACTGGATTCAGACTCTGAAGGAAAGGATGTGGACGCTACAACCTTCAAACAGTTGGTTGGTTCTCTGAGGTATCTGTGCAATACCAGACCTGATATTTGCTACTCAGTTGGGATGGTTAGTAGGTTCATGAGTAAACCTAAGTGGTCCCATTACCAAGCTGCTGTCAGGATTCTGAGGTATATCAAAGGAACTCTGAAGTATGGAGTGTTATTTCCCTCTGGAGGAAATAATGAGTCAGAACTTCTGAGTTATTCAGACTCTGATTGGTGTGGAGACAGAGTTGACAGAAGAAGTACATCTGGGTACTTGTTCAAATTTCTGGGAGGTTCCATTTCTTGGTGTTCCAAGAAGCAACCTGTTGTGGCGTTGTCAACCTGTGAAGCTGAATACATTGCAGGTGCTGTTACTGCATGTCAAGCTGTGTGGATTCTGAATCTGTTGCAGGATCTGAAGATTAAAGTAGACAAACCTCTGAAGTTGATGATTGACAACAAGTCTGCAATCAATCTTGCCAGAAACCCAGTGTTGCATGGGAGAAGCAAGCATATTGAGACCAAGTATCATTTTCTGAGACATCAAGTTCAGAGTGGAGTGTTAGAAGTTGTACACTGCAACACTCAGAAGCAGTTGGCAGATGTTCTGACGAAAGCTATCAAGACTGATCAATTTCTCAGACTAAGGGATGGAATTGGTGTTACAAGTTTTGATGGAATATGAATTAAGGGATGGTATTAGAATATTAATAGTAATTCATATTTATTTAGTTGTACTATTTTTCTTAACCCCTAAGTTTGTTAGAGGGTATTTTAGTATTTTATCTTTTTCTAGTAACCCTAGTTTTAGTTTATAAATAGGGTGACAATCATTATAACTTTTATCATGTTTTGTAGCCGTCATTCTTAATAGAATATTTCTACCTTTCATCATTTATTCTACCTTTGCACCAACAAAAACAAATATTATTAGAAAATAAATAAAATAATAATCATAATTCCATAACATATAAAATAAAACTTGTGTCAAGATGATCATCACAATATCGTACCAAAATTTTAAAATCAATTAAACAAAAAAATTGAATAAAGCAAAAAAAAAAAGAAATTGATATTATGATTTTGATAGGAGAGAAATCGGTTTTGAAATTGGATCAAATAAAAAAACATTTACTAATAGAGCCACTTTTAGACCGAACCAATCTAAATATAAACCGGTTTTTAAAAAATTAAACCATATAAACTCAAATCAAACCATATAATTGGCCTAATTTAGATTGATTCAAAAATCATACACATCCTTAATGTTCGAGTGGTCAGATTTCAGGTGTGTTAGTTATCTCCATCCTATTCCTGCTCGATGATCGAGGACATAATGTATCATTGTAATGTTTTGGTTGTTAGTTGTCAAGTCTTTTGGCTCCTTCCACGCTATTCCTTCCGAGGTGATCGAGAACATTGAGGGGTAAGACTCTACCCTCCACCATATACATTAATAACTCTATTATCACTCTAAACTTACTCCATTTATTTACCTGAACTCCTGCCTAACCACAATGTCAAAACCAGACAAGGTAACAAAAAGGAAACTTGAAACTTAAAGCCTAAACCAATCTCTACTATGACTTGAGTAGTTTCAAGATTCATATAATCGATTTGATGACCTAAGAGAGTAACTTTTTTAAAAAGAGGAGAGAAAAATGGACCCATAGTGAAGCCAAACAAATAAATAAATATGATAAGCGACTACTACAATTTATAATCTCTAAAAAATAACACATCTATCAACTTTACATTCAACAAAATATGAAATATATGCTCACTGATGTTAAGAATCTAGAAAACTTCATGCCCCAAATCAAAATCAAAAGTAGAATCATTGTTATCTGAAACCTTGGAACTACCCTGAGCTTGTGGTGTTGTCACCGGCAACCCAATATCGCTTGACGGCATACAAGACCTTCTCTGAAATCAGTGGACCGTCTTCATGATCCACCATTTTGGTATTCCATCTCATTCCTTTTGCAATTCTTTTAACTTGCTTCAGCACTCCCACCTGATCTCGGAATATAACCGCTCCTTCGGGCCGTAAGATGCGGTCCATCTCCAATAGAATATCTTCTGCATTACACCTGCATTGATCACCAAGGTAAAGGAAAACCTATATTAGTTTTCATTACAAGATAATATAGTGTTTATAATGAATTGAGATTCATCTGCGTGATAGAGAGAAAGAGAAATCAACTTACGCATTTTTGTATAAGGTGAAAACACCATTTGCGTGGATAAGGTCATAGGTTCTTGGGTATGTGGAAAAGGCTTCACACCTGCGAAAAAAAGATGATTTCAAATTAAGTTCACAGAGGAAACCAAAAGGAAAGAGAAAAGAAACAGAGTTAAGGAAGTTACCAATCATGATAAATGCCAATCAATCCTCGCTCGAATATAACACCAAGGCTGCCTTTCTCAGAAATTGTAGGCACGACATTCATAACCCATAATTTGGGAGAGTCTATGGCTGCAGCAAAACCTCCAAAACCAGCATTCATGTCCATCACATTGCGATACCTCCCCGAGTCGATGATTTTGTTGACACGCCTGTAAGCATTCACATGTTTCTTCCATAATCGGTTGTCCTCCTCAAATAACTCTGCAGATACACCAGGAACAGATCCACTGGTGATTCTCGAAGGAACAGCATTTATTCTCTCTGGGAATGGCTTCCATGAACCACTAGGTTTAGCAGGAGTTACACAATTTTCCATCTTCTTGTACCTACACATTGTTTAACCTTTCAGATAAGTATTGAAAGACAATAATCCATAATCCAAAAGGTTAGAAGCAAAAAATAAAAAAAGGGGCAGAAAGAAGTGAAGCAATTTACCAGACATCATCAGAATTCGCGGATTCACAAATTGTAGGCTGAGTTTCTTGCTCACCGCATTCATCATTGCTTAATGCTTTTCTCCAGATTGCAATTTCACCTTTCTCATGTTTCTTTTCCCAGCAAAGAAGTTTAGCAGTGTCCTCAATCTGCCTTTGTTCCTCCTTAAGCTCATCCTCAGGGCGTTGCCATGCTTGGAAGTTGTTCTTCCAGTTGATCGGAGGACCAGAAAGTATCCAGTAACCACCAGGTCTAAGAACTCGGTCAACTTCCTTCATATACAATCCACCTAAGAAAAAATTCCAACTGTTGCAGTTTATAAATCTGTGCAGGCAAATACATACAAGTAGTTGTCTAGAGTCTATGGAATTGTTTTCAAAGGAGACCGAGATCCATTAGATTATTTTTTAATCAACCTTGGCCAGAAACATTATAGCTATTCTCACCATTTGCACCCCATTGAATCAAGCAGCGAGAACAATGTGCCATGTCAAAAGATCCGGAAGGAAAAGGAAGCATTATTGTTCCAAGAACACCAATGATTGCCGGAACACCTCTTTCCAGAGCAAATTGAACTTGCGCTTCATGAGAGTCCCTTGGTGCAATTGACATTGCAATAACATTTTTCTTAAACAAGTAAGCACCCCAACTAGCAACCTGGTATCATTAATGACAAGAAAATGAGCTAGAACATAGAAAAAATAAATGGAAGATTGCATGAAGATATACAAAATTGAAAAATATGAAAGAAACAATTGCAAATGAGAACTTTTCATTTACGAAGCATTGAAAAGTATAAGCTAAGAAGCATTGACATAGACAAGGACATTAAATATGATTTTCACACGCTGAGACTGGTAATAATTTGAGAAAATGAAATAATTGAATGTAATCACATGTGTCAGCCGTTCTGTATTGGATACTAGACACTACCTTCAATCTGAAGTGTCGGTACTACATAAATTATAAGTATTAGCCATGGCCGTCTCATTGTGGACAAGAAATTTTTCAGGCAATCATCATGTATATATATATATTACCAACAACGAATGTTGTTAAATAGCAGAATTTGAACTGATTGTTATTGTTCCGCGATATGCTAGTTAGTACTAAATGTTGTCAAATAGCGGCTATAGAGACATTTGAACAAACTGTTATATCAAAACAAGAATATTTTCTTAGTAGGATTTGTCTTACCCCGCACCCAGTATCTAATGCAGTTCTAACCATCCCATTATCCAATGGAATAACAGCTGCAAGTTGATTAATGTAAGCATCAGCACCCTGAGGAAATTGAGTTCCCCCACCAGGAAACCTGAAAACATTCCCTTCATACTGTATCCAATTCTGCACAGCCTTCTCAACTGTGAGGCTCTTGTAAGGCGCGTTTGCATACGGGACGTAATCGCGACTCTTAGGCCAAGGAAACGGCGTTGCATACCCTCTAGGAGCAGCTATGAGACAATGCAATTTCTCTTCCTCAGGAGGACAGTGCCGTTCTCTATAATTCATATTCTCTCGCGGAAACGTCATCGCCCTTGCTTGATCATGGCAAGGCGTGTAATCAATGAAGCGATCATCGCAAGGCTTGAACTCCTTGACTTGTTCGTTTGGATCATCATCCGTTCCAGCCTCACCATCATGGTGAGTCTCGTAGTTTAGATCAGAAAGAACACTACAATCTGTATGTTTAGTAATCTCAACAGCAATGCTGTCTCCTTTTCCAAAACCACTCCTTTGCCACAAACCTAATATATAGAAGAAACCACACAAAGCAAATACAATGAAAATCGACATTGGACCTTTGTTATTTCTATTATCTCCCGGGTTCCCTTTCGTCGCCATGATGATGAATCTTTATAATATATCTAAACCAGTCCTTACAGAATCCCTGCATAGTGCAAAGTAAAATAGTATTATCAAATAAATCATATTCAAAAACTCTATCTCTGAGACATATTGGCAAAATATGGCTCGGATATAGAGTTTTTGATGTGTCTGCAACGGCAACACAACCACAATTGAGTCCGCATCATACATAATTGACTGTAATTCTCTTCAATATCAAGTGTCAAAACGTGACTGAATTTAAAATTTTGGAAACGGTTGAAGAAACGGGAAAGAAAGATGAATTGGATTGAATCAAACAGTTTACCTAATCAAATCCAGACGCAATATTGATAATTGAAGACGTGATGTTGTGGCTTACTGGTGTGATGAAAAAAGTAGCGTTGCGTTGCGATGAAAGAATTGGAGATTTGAAACGGAATTAGATTGATGGTAGTTGTTTGTGCATTGTAGAAGTGGAATGAACGAACGGGTGTTTTGTTTTTTGGTGTGACTGTGTCTCGCATTCACATATGGGTCTCCGAAAAGTCCGAGGACACGAAATTGTCTCACTGCGGGTCGTGCTTCACTCATTCCTAGGAATATCTTTCATTGGTTCTCTAACTAACTTCAACATTTGCAACTAAATTCCTTATCAACCTTCTTTTCATGTTTATCTTATAATAACAACGGCCAACTCCGTATCCTTTTGTCCGCTTTTTTTATTGTTATTATGCTTTAAAGTATAAATTAATATTTTTTAAAAATTTTGTGATATGTACTCATGTGTCTATTTATCCGTATTTTGAATAATTGTCAAACATAGGTAGAGTAATAATGACAATCTCTTATTGTCTGTTGTGGGATATTGGTTTTAGGGATTTGGTGTTTTTAGAGGGAACAAATACACATGATTATTACTCATTATTTTACTTGAGACAGGCCCTTTTTATGGTCAAAAAGTTATTTTAAATTATGCTTTTATTTTAAGTTTTGTCACAATGCAATGCATCTTGCATCCTCCAAAATTAGTGAAATGGGTATCAATGGCTAAGATAGATTATGCCATTACTTAGCATATGTTTGTTGTTAAAACACAGATTGGTGTTTAATATATCTCATTGTTTTGATGATAACATAAATGAAATTTTGTATAAAGGAAATATATACTCTAATTATGTTTAAGTAATTTTGTTTCAGATCTTAAATTATATATTCATCTGGAAGCAAAAATTACATATGCAACTGAAAAGAACGTTAAGACTCTGAGCGTCAGAAGCAACATTTCAGAAGACTCTGAGTGCTTCCTGAAGAGACTCTGATCTGCTACAGATGACTCTGAGTGAAACTAAGAAGAATTTGATTAAAGAGCGTACGTCACTGTTTCAGAAGACTCTGGAAGTACTTCATGCTGCAAGTACAGAGGCTCTGATATTCAACTATGTGCTGATTGTAACATTCACGCTTTAGCACTATTGCTGCAAGACTCTGATCTGAAGAACAAGGAACTACATCAGAGGATCTGATGTTAGTATTAATTGAAGGATATATTTTATTCATTTGAAAAGATGACCAACTCAAAGAAAAGATCTGTTGCTAATCCCAACGTCTGCTCCAACAACACTATTCCTCATTTATGCATGACACAAGAATTCAGACACAAAGCACATGTCTGAACATTCCTCTTCCTGGAAAGGAAAAGTCAATAGAAGACAAAAAGGAAACAGAGGCAGCAGAACGTACAACAATGCACAATCTTTGAGATAAGGACTTGAAGTATTATTTAAACAAGCTTCAGCATCTTTCCAACGCTGACGAATCATTTGAAAGAAAAAAAACTCACAAGCTCTCATTCAAATATTCTTCAAGCTTAGCAGTTTTCATTAAAAATAATAATAATAATAATAATAATAATATCCTAATTTCCTAACATATAAGTTTTGATAACAATAACCATAAAAATAAACAGGGTAGTTGAATAGAATCAGAAACATAGAAATAATTAGTGTAGTTGAATAGAATCAGAAACATGGTGACGTGCGAGAAAGGGAGGGGGTGAGGGCGGCCAGATCGAAAGATGCCTCTTCACCGATGAATCATACGGTGGTGATTGTGAATCATGCGAATGTTGCGCAATTGCTACAACCTGAAGTGGTGGTGATGAATGAATCAATTGATGGTGAGAGTCAATATGAGGATGATGAAGTACTGGAATTACATCGAGAAAATCTAGGAAATTCAAGCTGAAACACGTATAGAAGAAAATACTGAGAAGAAGAAGTTTTGGGTTGATGTTATCAATGAGAATAGAAAACCTGCAAAGGGTTTATCGATGGAATCTGTTGCTCCAAAAGTGATGTCGAAGTAGAGGTGAAGTTCTGGGAAACTGCTCTCATCATGTATGTGTTGGGGGACGATCTCAGTATGAATGCAGTCAAACAATATATGTTGAAGCAATGGAACTTTATGAAACTTCCAGATATGTATTACAATGATGAGGGTTTTTTCATTTTGCGTTTTCACTCCTTCCAGGACAAAGACTTAGTCTTGATGAAAGGACTCTATTGTTGGCTGAGCATTTCGACGTCAAGCTTTCATTTAAGGTATTAAGTGAAAATCAAGTTTTTTGAATTTTCGATGACTTCGATAGAAGCTTGTGAGAAGCTTATTCGAAGTAGTCTCCATGAAGGGGATGTCTGAAAAATACTTAGAAATATTTTCTAAGTGTGGGAAGTCACTTCGACGGAGGATGTTTGAAGTCTTTTTTTTTGTCAGAAGATTTAAATTTCAAAATACGGATAAATAATTGTCTTTTGTCCTTATCCCTTTCTCAAGAGAGACGCGTTGAGAACTATGGAGAAATAAAAGCATACAGAGGAAAACGTGTCAGTTTTTGGAGAAATGTTCGTTGAAGACAATTATTTCGACTTATTATAAATAGGATTCTTAGTTTTAGGATTTTCGTGTTTTCATTATTGTACAAATACTCAAAAATTCACTCAAAGTATCTAAGTCAAGTGAGAAAAGAGTTTGTCATTGAGAAATGTACGTTTGAAACACTATTTATTTCAATAGAAAGTTAATTTCATTTATCAATTGTTGTTTACTGCACTTTTACTTTGAACTTTTCTTCATTGCATTTTCTTTATCAATCTTTACAAAGTTTATCTTTTCCAAAACAATCAAAATAAACTTTCATACAAATGAATATTGTCGAAGTGTTCATCAATTTTCCAAAAATATATTGAAACAACAGCTATGTCCTTAGGATTCACTAGTTGATGCTGCAAGTAAACCAATTTTTTGGAAGACCAGCGGTTGTTTACCAATTTTTACAGTAAACGAATTGGCACGCCCAGTGGAACAGTGCTATTGTATCAAAATATTTTTTTGTTTTACAATTTTTGCATTAAGTTCTTCATTTTTATCTTTCCATACTTCGTTGCATGAGACTTAGGAGTGGTAGAATAGCTACAAATAACGAAGAAAGACCAAGGAGAAGATATGTAAGGAGAATGGTGAATCCAAATCTACCAAATAACCAAAATCCGCATAATAATGAAGAACCACCCCATCTTCTTCGACAGGGGGCAGTACGACTACAACGTTAGTGTCTGAAGTCATACCGTCCACAGCAAGTTCGACGCCTATGCAGTCAATTGCCCGGAGTGCTCCCATTTTATCTTATGTGGTAACACAGGGTCTGTAACACCCCAATTTTAGTAATTATTTATTTATTTATATTAATTAATTAATTAATTAATTAATTGTGTGCATAATTGGTTTATTTGATCTAATTGAATTAATTGATTTAATTGATTTATTTTATTTGAAGGAATAATATGTGGAAATGGTAGAAATAAGTAATTTGGCCTAGATTGAGAGTGTGAATAATAAGTGAGAGAGTAGGTTAAGTAAGCCCATTAGCATAATGAGAAATTTGTAGATTTGATAAAATAAGAGAAAGAAATAGAATAGGGTTAGAAGTTGGAAAGGGGTCTAAGGTGAGAAAGATGAGAAGAGAAGAGGAACCTAAGAGAAAACTCAAGAATCCGAGAAAATCAAGGTAAGGGTGAGTTTTTATATGATTATTGGGATTGTATGATAGTGTATGATGAGTAGTAGCATATTTTGGATAAAAATCACTAATTTCCATGGTGGTTGTTATATGATGATTATATGATTAATTTGTGTGCCTTATATGTGTGCATTCTTTTCTTTTTTGAAGATTGAACCTATATCCATCAATTTCAAAGGTTTTAGGAATAATCTTAAAACAATGATTAAACAGTTTAATTGAGTTAAAATTATAAATTTACTTGAGATAATTACAGTATTGGATGAGTTGTAATTTTTCAAGAGTTTGGTTTTTCATGGAATTGAAATCGGAGGTCCGGAAGGCCTCCAACGGTGAAAAACACAGAAAATTCTGCATGTTGTCCATCACGAATGTTCATGTTTTCGATCGAAATCGTTTTGGTCATAACTTTTGATCCGTAAGTCCGTTTTGGTCCCTGTTCGAAGTGTCCGAAAGCTAATGAATAGAGTTATAAAATAATGTAGATAAGATAATTATTTGTCCAATATTTTTATATCTAATATGTTTGGGGAGTCAGTTGTGTATATGTTCTATTAATGAAGTGTTACACTGTTTGCTGCCGGTTGTGAAATTATTTGTGGATAATTTATGAAATACTTGGGTGTGTGCTTGTATAAGTATATTTGGGTGCGACAACATGAAATGTGTTGCACCCCAAAATTTGCCCAACTTTTTCTTCACCTAGTTTGTGTTTCATTTCATTCACATTAGCATTATCATTTGCATTTCATTGACATGTATGCAGGAGATCAAGAGGTATGATTACCAATCAAGAGCTATACAAGACTTTGAAGCTAGCTAAGGAGGTTATTCAAGTGTTCAAGGGTTGATATCCTTGTCAAAGAAGTAAAAGATCCTCAGAGAGAGTGGTTGAAGCCAAGAGGGTGTGTCTCCTAACTTGAGAGTTGTGGGAAGTCAT